TGTTTGTGAACGATCAGTGTTTTCGAGTTCAGCGTTTGTAAACGAGTTCCTTGCTTGTGAACGTTCCTTGTTTGTGAACGAATAATGGGCGAGACGGCCAATCGCAACGTTGGTCTAAGCCGCGCGAGGCTTGGTAACGAATGCTCCTCGAATTGGCTGGAAATTAAAAAAATGGCAACGATAAATGTTTATACCATATGATTTCGGCAAATACGTGTGAACAAGTAAAAGTATGATGGATTCCCGATTTTTCCCTTGTTACAATGGGCGAAACGGGCCTATCACAACGTGTGGCTAAGCCGCGAGGCTTAGTAGCGAATACTCGTCGAATTAGCAAGAAATTAAAAAATGGCGGCGGTAAATGTTTACACAATATGATTTCGGCCAATACGTGTGAACAATTGCCGCTTTAACCTGTCATTTTAGATGCTATAAGTTGATACGCTGGTACGTATTTATGTAAAACTTTATTTAAAGACACTAGCCCCGACAACAATACGTTGGTTTCCACGGAGGGCGTCTACAAGATTAAAAATTACAAAAAGTGTTAAGAACGTAAAGCTATGTACCAGTTGGTGTGACCCCAGATATTATGGTTGTAATTTGTTACAATATGATTCTCAAGTATTCACTACGTTAGAAGTAAGTTTGAAGTGGCTTTTGAATATTGAATTGATTCAGCCAGTTTGGTGCATAATGAGTAACTTGATAATGATAAAATGAAGAAAAACTAATTCGAATGTTGGACTCCTTAGAAGGCTATTCCATAGCTTACCTCCACCATACCTAAAGCTCTTTTTCAGCATCAATCTTTTTGCAAATCGCCTGAATATGTTGATTCCAGGTAAGATTTCCGTCCATTTCGAGCTCAAGACATTTAAAAGAGTGAAGAAAAAGCTTGGACTTCCGATTTGCGCTTTTAAGAATATTTGCGGAGGTTATCGCAAACGTAGTCGGCAAATTCTCTCAAATTCTGTCAACCGACCAAGGAACTCATCGCAAGCCATCAATCCTCTTCCTCACGCGATGAACGGCGCAAAGAAGGCGCAGTTTTGTGCAATTAAGAGCCAGTCCTTCACTTGTCTAGCAAATCGATATCTGCGGTGAAAATTCCTGTGTGTCAATAGCCTTTCTGGTGAGAATGCAAATAGGAGTATCCATGCCTTTTGAGCGCCCTGCGAATGGTCCACAATGAAACCTCAGGACTTATACCTGCCCATGTACAAAGTCTGGAAGCACACTAATTTTCTTCACCATCCCTTGTTATTCTTGCACTTGTCATGTCGATCGTCATTGTCAGTTGGTAATTTTGCGTGCCAGTATATTTTTTCCTTACTGTAGTTTGGAAATGGTTGCAAAAGCTGTCTACCTCTAACTCCTCTCTTCTGATATAAGTATCTGATGCATACTGAGATTTTTGTTGACAATCGTCTTTTTGACTTAATAATTTATGGTAAATTCTACCTAAGCTGATGCTGCGAAATGAAATCCGACAGTTGTGCAATAATATGGCTTACCGCGCTAATTTACAAATGCTTATCTGCGAAATTCGATGCTCAAATTTACCGCTAAAAGAGAGACCAGATAATGACTTAATCATAAGTATATTATGACATCATAATTATTTATCTTTACTGTCCGAAAATACTTGGTCCTGGGCGATTAGGGGACCCATATATTATACAGAAACAGCATATACATATTCGCTCTTGATCCTGAGCTCATAATCATAATTTCTACCAGTGTACATCCAGAAAATGAGATGCAAAGATTAATGAGACAAATACAAAGATGACCCCTTCCCCCCTAAATCAATGCTGCGAGGAAGTACGGTACGCAAAATTTGCATATTTCTTTTAATATTTACTATGGGTGGGCATGGGGGCTGCGATGCACTTCAAATTTGATAGAAAATCTGAAAAGTCTCATAATTTTTGCACGTGATTGTGGGTGTAAATTCTAATTACTTGGTTTCAATTCCCTTGAAAAATACGAACATAAAACTTGTTCGTATTATATCGTATTATGTCCGAGGTATTTTATCAACTTAAAATGTATAATTATCACGAAACCAATTTTTTCTATTTCATAAAAAAGTAGTTTTTTATTAAAGAAAAAGTAGGAAGTATAGTTTACTAATATTCATTATTTATTTTTTATGAACGAGTTCGATTTGCACCGTTTTTGATATATTTTGGAAGGCAAAACTGCGTCAATTTAGGATCGCCAATTTATTTTGGCCGGCCAAACTAGTACCCCGTAAGACTGGGCATAGTGACGAATACGTATTTATACATGTACTCCATTGTTACATTTACGATTTGATTTACTCTTAGTTTAGATATAGAAATATCCTGACGCAATCTATGTAAATCAATGAAGGAAATTAATATAAGAGGGTGAAGTGAAACTGCGTGTAACGGCGCTATGTAAATTGTATAGTTCTATATGAACTCTCGAATGTCGAAATACCAAATGAAAATCAGAATTTTCGGGGCATTAGCATAACGCCAATAATAGCTAGGGCATTTGAGAAAATTGTATATGACACCCATGTTCGTGACGTTGTGGAGAAAAATCTAAGCTGCACCCAGTTTGCATATAGAGCCGGTGGAAACTGTACGTGCGCCCTTTTAGCTATGCAGCATAGGATAAACAGTTATATGGACGATCCAGACTGTAGAGCAGTCCGACTTTTCACCATGGACTTTAGTAAGGCCTTCGACTCAGTTAAACATAATCTACTTGCAAGTAAATTAAAAGCTTTCCCACTTAACCCGTACATCATTAACTGGTACCTCAGTTTCTTGAAGAACAGAAAACAGAGAATATGCTATAATGGATATGTAGGTGAATGGAAATGTTTCAATAAAGGTACCACTCAAGGGAGCGTCAGTGGGCCACATCTTTTCAACATTTTTTTGAACGATTTAAACTTAGAATTGGATGGTCATGATGTACTGTTCAAGTATTCGGACGACTCCAATATTGTAGCTCCAGTTTGGAAAGAGAGAGATTGTGCTGACGTTTTGGTGACACAGTTTTTGGACTGGATTTCTTGAAATAAGATGGTATGTAATCCAGGAAAGTGTAAAGAGATGACAATTTACAAGCAAGGTGACCATGACTACTTTTCACCGATTGCAATGATTCCAATGTCCAAAGCAGTGAAAGTGATGGGAGTTACATTTCAGTGTGATGGTAAATTTGGTGAACATGTTAAAAATAAATTAATCAAGGCAAAAAAGTGTCAATACATCCTGCGATCATTGCGAAAGGAAGGTTATTCACAACAAGAAATAGATCTACTGTTCGATACTCTGGTAGTACCAAATATTACATACGCATTACCTGTTTATGGTGCTTCCAAATCCGACCTAACTCCTATTGAAGCCTTTTTTAAACGTTGCTTTAAAAGGAAATATACGTCAAAGCCAGTTAGTGTGTATATGCTTTTAGAAAAACAAGATCGAACAATATTCAATAAAGTATCTAAACTCTGGCAGCATCCATTATTGTCATTAATGCCACACGCTAAAGAAACAAGCTATAATTTAAGGAAAAGAAGAAGCCATAGGCTGAAAGTTAGAACGGAACGTTTTAAAAACGTGTTTGCAAATCGTTTGGTATTCAATTATGACTTAGTTATTGATTAAAATAATATTCTCTACAGCAAGACATAGTTTAATAAGAACGAATGAGTAATGTAGGCTTCCTTTTAGTAAAGTGTAAATAAGGCGTATATGAACTGTAACTCAAGATATGTATTTTTATCTTTTGATTCATTAAAGACCAATAATAAATATAATAATAATAATAATAATAATAATAATAATAATAATAATAATATAATAATAATAATAATAATAATAATAATAATAATAATAATATAATAATAATAATAATAATAATAATAATATAATAATAAATAATAATAATAATAATAATAATAATAATAATAATAATAATAATAATAATATATAATAATAATAAATAATAATAATAATAATAATAATAATAATAATAATATAATAATAATAATAATAATAATAATAATAATAATAATAATAATAATAATAATATAATAATAATAATAAATAATAATAATAATAATAATAATAATATAATAATAATAATAATAATAATAATAATAATAATAATAAATAATAATAATAATAAAATATAATAATAATAATAATAATAATAATAATAATAATAATAATAATAATAATAATAAAACAAGCCGACAGAAGCTGAACAAATTAAAATTATTTTTCGGAGGGATGTTAAAGTGCATATCACCATTTTTTTAATCTCATAGATGAGAAACTTAGTTGAGTAATAAAAAGAATACGTTTCGTTTTAGGATGTTCGATATAGTTTCACGCTTTTTTTCAACCAAATACCAGCAAACTATTAATGTTCACCGTGAGCTGAAGGGTAAGTGGAAAATGACACTAGTTACGTGCGCGAGGAGCTCGTGTTAAGATATTGATATAATATAAATAAGGTATTTCAAAGACTTATATAACAAATTTTATCTGTCTAAATCGTTGTCCTAAGGGAATTTATGAAGACCGATGTTGCACGAAGGGTCAGGAAAGTAGGGCCTATTGATAACCACCATCAGACGTGTGGCTTTCTGAGAGAAGCGCTAGCTAATAACATAGTATTTATTGTTGACGTGCAGCGACTAAGAATAGGAAAAACTGGAAGCCGAAGGGTAACTAAAGGCTTATCAAACATAATTCATCTTTCACGCTTGTTCTTGCATGCTACCAACGTGATACCAACACCCTAACCAACAAACCCACTCTCCCCCCTTTAATCACAACCGGATTTTAACTTGGTCTATTAGACCACTTATATCTGGCGATAATCATTATTCTGGAATAAATTCTTTAAACATCAAAACATCTCACGTAAGAAGATTTTAGAAAATTTATATAAATTATAGCTGACTTAAATCGCCGTTTCATGTGCGCTTATATATAGGTAGATAAAAGTAAATAGTCTTGTTATTTCCTCAAATCTGGCATCAATTTAAAATCATTGTTATGCAAGAAAGGATCCTTTAAAGCTTCACTAGCATGTGGTCTATGATTAATCTTTTGTTCAATCAGCCAAGAGACAAACTTCCGAGCCTTGCGGTCACCAAGTTTCTTCAAGTTTACGGATTTTCCTTTCGCAATATTCCTCATTCTATCATACATAGGACCAAAAGGATGTTCGCCTTTAGTTAAAATGAAAAAGGCAATCATACCCGCCACATAGACATCCGATTTCCTTTTGAACCGACCTTTTTCTTCTCTTTCTCTCGCTTCAATTACTTCCGGCGGCACCCAGCCGATGGTACCATTAGCACCTGTTTCAACAGTTGTTTCGTCTTTCTTTAGAACCCGGCTCATTCCAAAGTCTGCCAGTTTCATGTGTCCCTCAATATCAAACAGAATGTTTGATGGTTTCAGGTCCCTATGCAAAATTCCTCTAGCATGTAGAAATTCAAGGCCGGATAGAATTTCTGTGATCATTTGTGGACCTCCCTGTTGTAGTTGTTCAATGCCGTAAAAATTAACAAGCTCTTCTAAATGTCCCTCACATAGATCAATAATAAGATGCAAAAAGTTACCATCGTTGTAAAAATCTCGATATCCAACTACAAATGGGGATTTGTCTGTATTTATGAGACTCAATATTTCCTTTTCATTTTCCGCTGCTCTTTCACACTTCTGTACTGGCATTCTCTTAACAGCAACTCCACTTCCATCATCCATAAGACCGACATAAACACATGAACCAAGGCAACCCTCGCCAATTTTAAATTCTTTCTTCGGGGCGAAAGCCTTCATGTGTACTTTCTACAAGAAAAATCATGATAAATATATACATTTTTTCAGTATTATTTTATAAGACCTTTTAGATTGTATCCCTTTAATTTTTGAAAACTGCATAATAGAAGCAAAATCATTCTGCTGTGGTTGACCCTTGATAAGCCTATAATTTAATCATAATGTTGGAAAATTTCTCTACATGCAAATATCATAAAGGTTAATTAAGGGGCTATAGAAATGAAATGAAGTCGTAGGGACTTGAAATCGACAGTGCATTTTCTCAAATTTGTGTTCATGTTTTGGATACTTGGATAATTTTTACATTATTCTAAATAATAATTTTGCAAGCTATAGCGGAAAGTGCCTGTATTAGCACCAATATACTGTACATTCAATATATACACAAGCGCTGCTGATATGTATTATATACGCAATCTGAGTAGCTCTCTTGGAAGAGGTTAAAACTGATATGGAGAATTAGCAAGGCAGAGGTTGGCGTTTATTCCAATTGCAGTTAAAAACTATGAAACAAAAGAATTAGTCGCCTGTGAACTTTATACAAGCGATTTACTGTTTGCATAAGGAGGTCCATTGCAGAAAAAAAAATTTCTTTAATATTGAAAAATGTAAAAATCTGTTCATCCCATATTGCAAGCCAAGTTACTCTGAAATAGAAAAGACTTGTAGGAATCTTCAATCAATATAGTCAAACAGACCAGACACACCCGATGATGGAAAATAGACGATTTTTGTAAACACGATAACAAACTAGGTTTTAACTTTTATTGAACGACGGAATTGGTTTTATTTAGTTCTAAATATTTTTGCCTCGCGCCTGAACTTAAATAAATAAACTTGTCCAGTATTAAACGTTTTACAGGCTATAAACATAAAACTTCTATGATCTATGTAAAATAACCAGTCGCTATTTTACTTAGACTGAGCGGACCTTTTTTTTCACCTCGCAGCCAAGTGTCTTTAAAGTCAACCATGAAAATTTTATCAAGTTAACTGTATTATTTTTTCAATTATCCTACACGAAAGAAAGAGGGATGAGAATTTCAGTTTGCTACGTAAAGCGCCGAAAAATGCTTTGCATTTATTCATGAATTATAGAGAACAATACAGTAAAACAAGCCAATCGACCCATTTTGTTTCCTCGTGTTAAACCCTAATTAATAAAGCTTTTTGTTTGATTCTCGGGTTCTTTGTATATTTTTTATAAAAAAAAATATTCAGGATCGCTTTTAAAATAGAATAAATCATGTTCTTTTGTAGTGGAGCACCTTAAATGAGAAGCCCCGCGAACTCTAGCCTTGGTAAACTAGGACTTTGAACTAATTAAATGATATCTAGAAACAACAATATTTCAGGACGTTTTTGTTACCTTCTCTAACTGGGAGCAATCCATTGCTTTTAATTTCAGTATTTTTCGGCGATGTTTTACTGACATATTCAGCATAGACGTGATCTCATCATGACAAAAATGGATACTCCATTCTAAAAGACTCATTGGCCATGGTGTTGCTCCAACGGAGAATGTATCAAAATTTCTAACATCGATGTCCCTTTCTAATAAAAGTTTGACCAAGTCAACAGAATTTTCACAAATGGCCATAGTCAGGATCTTCAGACCAAGATTACGAACGAGAAATAATTTACTTTCAACTGTAACATCAGCACCATGCTCGACTAAATTTTTTACAATATCAAGTTTACGTTCACCAACAGCTGTGTGCAGAACTGTTCGCCCGTAGGTGGTCTTGCTATTAACATCAGCACCATGTTCGACTAAGTATTTCACATTGCCAGGTTCGCCATGAATAACAGCAGAGTGCAGAACTGACAGCCCGACATTGTCGTTTCCATTTACATCAGCACCATGTTCGACTAAATACTTAACAATGTCAGGTTCACCTTTTTCAACAGCAGAGTGCAGAACTGTGAACCCAACATTATCGCTGCCATTCACATCAGCACCATGTTCGGATAAATATTTTACAACATCAAGTTTACGTTCTTTAACAGCTGTATGCAGAACTGTTCTCCCGTAAGATGTCACGCCGTTTACGTCAGCACCGTGTTCGACTAAATATTTTACGATATCACCTTTCTTAACAGCAGAGTGCAAAACTGTCCACCCGTCATTATCTTTGCTATTCACGTCGGCACCATGTTCGACTAAATATTTAACAATGTTATGTTCCCCATGAGCGATTGCAGAGTGAAGAACTGATAACCCGACATTATCCTTTTTATTCACATTAGCACCATGTTTGACTAAATACTTAAAAATGTCAGGTTCACCTTTCTTAAGCGCGGAGTGCAAAACTGGCCAACCGTCATTATCTTGGCTATTCACGTCGGCACCGTGTTCGACTAAATATTTAACAATGTCAAGTTCACCTTGAACAACTGCTGAGTGCAGAACTGACAACCCAACATTATCCTTCGTATTTAAATCAGCATCATGTTTAATTAAATATTTTATTGCGTCAGGTTTTCTATATTCAACGGCAAAGCGCAGAAGTGTCCACCCGTCATAATCTTCTGCATTAACATTAGCACCATGTTCGAGTAAATATTCAGAAATATCATTGTCACTGTTTCCAAGGGTATAATGCAGGACTGTAAACCCGTCATTATCCTTGCTATTCACATCAGCATCATGTTCAACTAAATATCTTACACTGTCGAGTTTTCCTTTTTCAACAGCAGAGTGCAAAACTGAGCACCCGGCATAATCCTTGCTGTTTACATCAGCGCCATGCTCAATTAAACATTTTACACTTTCGAGTTTTCCTCTCTCGACAGCAGTGTGAAGAACTGTTCGCCCGTCATTATCTTTGTCATTTACATCAGCGCCATGTTCGATTAAACATTTTACACTTTCAAGTTTTCCTCTCTCGACAGCAGCGTGAAGAACTGTTCGCCCGTCATTGTCTCTGTCATTTACACCAGCGCCATGTTCGCACAAAAATTTTACAGTAGCCGGTTTGCCACTTTTAATGGCAACACGCAGAACTGTCCACCCAAGAATAGTTTTGCTATTTACATCAGCACCACGTTGGACTAAATATTTAATAATGTCGGGCTCATCTTTCTCAACAGCATAGTGCAGAACCAGCCAGCCAATATTGTTCTTGCCATTTACATTAGCACCATGTTCGACTAAATATTTCACAATATCAAATTCACCTTTTTCAACAGCATAGTGGAGAACTGTCCGCCCATCATTATCCTTGCTATTCACATTAGCACCATGCTCAACTAAATATTTAACTATATTAGGTTTACCTTTTTCAACAGCAGAGCACAGAACCGTCCTTCCGTTAGCATTCTTCTCGTTTACGTCAGCACCATGTTTAACTAAACATTCCACAGCTTCAGATTCACCTTTTATAATTGCAGAACGCAGAACCGTTCGCCCTTCATTATCTTTACCATTCACATCAGCACCATGTTCGATTAAACACTTTACAATGCCAGCTGAACCTTTCTCAACAGCGGTGTGCAGAACCGTCCACCCGCTAGCAGTTTTTCTATTTAGATTAGCGCCATGTTGAACTAAATAATTAACAATGCCAGGCTCACCTCTTTCAATTGCAAAGTGCAAAATTGTCCGACCGCGAGTATTCCTGTTATTCACATTAGCGCCATGTTCAACTAAGTATTTTACAGCGTCGAATTTATGTTCTTCAATAGCATACCGCAAAGCGGTCCACCCATCGCTATCCTTGCCATTAACATCTGCACCATTTTCAACTAAACATTTTACAATGTTTAGTTCACCTATTTCAACAGCATAGTGCAGCACTGTTATTCCGCAAACAGCCTTGTCATTTACCTTCGCGCCATGTTCGATTAAATAGTTTATAATATCAGGTTTTCCTTTTTTAACAGCGAAGCGCAAAACATTCCACCCCAGAATAGTTTTGCTATTTACATCAGCGCCGTGTTCAACTAAATATCTTATAGTGTCAAATTCACTTCTTTCAACGGAGTAGTGGAGAACTGTCCACCCGCTTTTATTCTTGCTATTCACATCCGCACCATGTTCAACTAAATATTTAACAATATTAAGTTCACTCTTTTCAAAAGCATAGTGTAAAGCTGTCCGCCCATCATTATTCTTTCCATTCACATCAGCTCCATGCATGACTAAATAATCGATAATATGAGGTTCCCCTTTTTCAACAGCGCTGTACAGAATTGTCTTCCCACTAGCATTTTTGGCATTTACATCAGTACCATGTTCAACTAAAGATTTTACAATATCAATTTCACCTCCTTCAACAGCATAGTGCAAAATTGTGCACTCTTTATTATCCTCTCCACTTACATCAGCACCATGTTCGAGTAAATGTTTAACATTGCCAGGCACACCTTTTCTAACAGCATAGTGCAGAACTGTCCATCCGTCATTATCCTTGCAATTAACATCAGCACCATGTTCGATTAAATATTTAACAATCTCCGGTTCACGATGAGCGACTGCAGAGTGAAGAACTGGCCACCCGACGTTATCCTTGCTATTTGCATCTGCACCAAGTTCGACTAAACATTTTACGGTGTTAGTTTCACTATTTTCCACCGCGAAGTGTAGAGCTGTCCTCCCGTCATTATCCTTTCCATTTACATCAGCTCCATGCTCAACTAAATATTTAATAACATCAGTTTGCCCTTTTTTAACGGCACTGTAAAGTACTGTCCTCCGACTGGCATCCTTTACCTTTAATTCAGTACTTTGTTCAACTAAATCAGGTTCACCATAAACAGCTGCAGAGTGCAGAACCATCCACCTGTCTGTATCATTGTGGTTTACATGAGCACCGTTTTCAATAATACAATTGTAAGGAACTGTGTTCTGAACTGTCATTGCATTCCTGCTTTCGTTATTGGCAGACGCATCACGTTGAACCAATTTTTTGGCTTCTAGTTTCCCATCAATGCCTGTAAGAGATGATTTTACAGCTATAGCGTGGTTTGTTAAAATAACGCAGATAATTCCCAACGAACCGTGGACAGTTAAATGGCTCACTGTGTGCGTGGATCGATGCGTGATGCGCGCATGACGGATATGTATGCTCGCGGCGCGTGTTTGTCGGCAAAAGTTAATTGACCGTGGCTGCATTAATTCAACCATGTTTTTATGTAAACATTTAGCAACAGATTGACAACATGTAAACATTCAGCGAAAGATTGACAACATTTAAACATTCAGCGAAAGATTGACAACATGTAAACATTCAGCGAAAGATTGACAACATGTAAACATTCAGCGAAAGATTAACAACATGTAAACATTCAGCAACAGATTGACAACATGTAAACATTCAGCGAAAGATTGACAACATGTAAACATTCAGCAACAGATTGACAACATGTAAACATTCAGCAACAGATTGACAACATGTAAACATTCTGAGAAAGATTGACCGGGATAAATTCAATAGTCAGTCTAGTTACATTTTTAAACAATGTTTAATTCGCTCACGAAATAGCATTTAGCTATACAAAACAACTATACAACTGTATTGTAAAACAACTATACCTCTCGCTCTCGTCGTATAATATACCACTCGCTCTTGGTGGTACGCACCTCGCAAACTATTAGCTTCTCGGTATCGAAGAATGTCTTTCGAGCATTCTGATTGGCTCACTCATCAGTAACTACGAGGCATTAGTCGCTGTTTAGACGGCTCTATTGCTTTTTAATAGAAAATATTGCTGAAAATTAACCGGCGCCGACAGTCACCGACGTATAAAGTGCTTAATATTTTGGTTACATTTATGATTACATTTGCATGGGATTTCTATAATATTACACAACATATGCAATTATAATTAGATTTCGAGTATCTATCTATATATCTATCTGCGGCCAACGTTTTTGCAAATGGGTGTATATATATATATATATATATATATATATATATATATATATATATATATATATATATATATATATATATATATATATATATATATATATATATAATTATACAGATATACAAATATATAAGATTATACAAATATATGAATATCAATCACGTGAGCATTAAACATTGTTTATTTCGCTCATTTTTGTCTTGTTTCTTTATTATTATCAATATTGTTAACCTTACTGTTATATTGATGAAATTTTTAATAAAGATTTTGACGGATTTCCCATAAAATTAACGTGACCGATAAAATGATTTTGGCATCAACTGTTCCGGGCTTAAATTTGAAGTGCATGTGTGAAATTCCACTTGAAATAAGGACCCTTTGAACCTCTAGAATTTACTTTGATGACAACTAAATTCGAAAAATATCCAAAGGATGACATATAGCACGATTAAGTGCTTGCATAGGTGCTGTCCTATATAATTGTATTTGAATGCCTCGAAATTTGCTACTTCCAACGAAAACTCAATCTTACCCGCAAGTGTCTCGTTTTCAATGCTTTTTTCTCCAAGCTGATATTCGCTGGTGACATTTTGCTTATCTCTAGCAGTGTTAAGCAGCTCAGGGAAATTTTCCTCTTTTTCCGACGTCTTTAAACGATTATGCTCCGCATTGGTGGATAGCATGGCCGTATGCTTTGGTTTGGGTAAATTGACTACGACGTCTTCAATAAAGGTTCCAGTAATGTTTTCAGAATCTTGCATAGGTGTCGTCTCGAAGTAAACTGATATCGTTGAGAATATTTTTGGAACTTCCTTTTTTCTTGAATAGAAAGAACAAAATAATTAATCCATGAACGGCTGACATCAATCGCAAAGTCCCCGGTCCTCACCTCCGTCAAACGTAGTAATCGTAAAATCGATAAACGAGTCTCGTAATATGTGGGACACCCTTTTTTTTTATTTATAGAGTGGTAATTAAACTGTTATGCACTGCGGCCGCAGGAACGGCATCAGCGGATTCAGAATCTTTCTCTCTTATACCAAAATAATATCAAATAAATACACTAAACATGCACATTTTAGGAAAAATTTAGGAATGATGACCTATACTACGTTGGCAACGATGCTGACACAAGTTTGCTTTGTCTACTCAGTCTAATTAATATGATAAACTCGATCAATCCGAACCGCTTTACAAACCTTTCCGCCCGTGTTACCGGACTGTATTACCATTTGCAAAGTCTTTGTAAAATGGGTTAGATTTAATCAACTTGATCAATCCGAACCGCTGGCTTGTCCTCTCGCACAGCTGGACTACACTCTTACCATTTTACAAGGCTTTGCATAAATTACTAGAGTCGGTTTAATCAACATGATCAATCGAAACAATTATACAAGCATCATCCTTTGCGGCTGCAATCCATTTTATAATTTGAAAGGAATTGTTTTGATCAACTGGAATAATTTGATGGGCGCGGTTTTACCATTTAAAATCGTAGTTTTTAACGTCATTCGCGTTCTATTTATACGACAGCAAATTTCAGGTTTTTACGTCATGCGTAGAACGTCGATAGCAATTCCGTAATAACATTTGTCCGTCAACCGTCGATAACATTTGGCCTCATAGAATTGTTTACAAACATAAAACAATAAACTATAACTCTCCTGACGAAGGCCCTCTTGTCGAAACGTCGAGAAGTGTTTTGTCTATTCTAGGCAGTTGTTATAACACATTTGATGCTAGGTTAACTTATTTGAAAGAGCGCTTCTATCGCATCAGTTATTGAATACTGAGATTCTGCACGCCTCACGAGAGTGAAATATTGATAAGCGTTTCCAAGACTAGCCAAATGCTCACAAGGCTAATGCTATTTTTATAGTATACTATAATTATAGTTAAATGGACAACACAAATCACCAAATTTACGCCACGTTCGAATGCTTGTATGACAACAAGCATAAACAAGATGCCGTTGGAATTCTAACCATGCAGTTGGGCATACGTGCAACTTATAAAATTTATTTATTTATATAATTAGAGACAAAAATGGCAGTAAGCCAAACCTAAATCCGTTACGATTATTTGCTTGTTTCCTACCTTATTGCATTATATCGTGCCATACTCCATTGAGCAAAGAAACATTCTGATCCTCTTTCTCTATTTGAGTATAGGGTAGCCCAAATTATGGAACAAATAAGCCAAATAATGTTCCAGGCCGCCCTTTAATATCCTTGCATCAAGCAGTGAAACAATTGCAAAGTTACACAGTAAATTTTGAGGAGTTAATTCAACTCCAAAAATGGAGTTATATCAACGGTGACAGAATGACACCAAATTCGGAGTTGTTTTAACTCTTATATAATTGGAGTTATTTCAACTCCTCACAAGTAGGTGTTATTTTAACTACTCAATGGAGTAATTACAACTCCAAAAACTGAGTGACAGAATGACTCCAATTTCAGACTTATTTTAACTCCCACGAAATGGGAGTTGTTTTCACTCGTAACAAAGAATTATTCTATTTATATAATGGAGTTAATATGACTCCATTATATGGTTAAAATCGACTTTATGGAATTGCGACAACCTTTCCTAATCCAGAGTTATTTTGACTCATATATAGAGTCCAGTCTAGAGTTGTCTTTACTCCATATAATTAAGGAGTTATAAAAAGTTATGTTTACTATATGTGGGACTAGAAAAACGTCGTACATTACCAATTAATTGTGTATAGGTAAATTACTTCAATCGAAGGAAGTTTTTAGCTTGATTTCCTTTTCAATTGTGATTTATCAAGTAAATCTGCTTCGGTTTAATTTCACAATTGAAAAGAGAATTTAGCGAAATATTCCGTTCCATCGCAGATTTCCACCTCCACTTATATAATATAGTAAAAAACCGCCTTAATAATACCGAATCAAAAACAATGCCGCACAAATATCGTTATCATATTATTATAATATTGAATACATGAGATCAATTACGTTTCTTTTTGAGTACAGCATATCAACTATACGCAATAAAGGAATTGCTTCTGTAGTTGCTCTTTAATACTTTTTATTTAAATTTCAACACACATGCACATTTGCAAGAAAATTAGAAAATGTCTTTAAGTGGAGTAGCATGCATGTATGCATGAAATATAATTGTATAGTCATTAAGGCACTGGTTGTTCATTTCTACTAGAATTTTACTAAGATAAGACTCACTCTACCAAGATGATGACCTGGCTGTGAGCAATACTGATCAACATCCTGTTGTGCTAATTGCACGAAACGAGTCTTCATTCTACGAACAAATAGAAAAATTGCATAATATGAGTGTAAATTCGAGTAGTGTACATGCATATACCAGAGCACATTGTTCAACAGACCTTCAAAATCTATATGTTCTATGTGATCCAAAATGCACAAACATGTGAATATAAAGGAAGGAATAATTTCAAGTAACTTAGGCTTAGCTAATATAAAAAAAATTAGAAAAAAATTCCAGATACCTAGATTTGCTGCATCATTATAAGTTGCTTCGTCCATTAAAAATTGAACAGTTATCTTGGGGTTGTTTTCAACATCGTTTCGCTAGGTTAGGGCTTTCTTGAATTGAATTTTGTGTTTCAGTTTCCCATTGGCATTGCTTCTTCTACCCTCTACCGGGCATTGTGGACCTTTGTCTTCCTACTGCTTCTAAAGATACGAATGCGAATTGTTATAGACTATTAAATATCCCAGGAACTTTAAGGTAAATATCGGAGGCTTGCGATATCATGACTCATGTATTTATGCTGATCAGAAACACAAAAATACTTCGCCGTCAGTTTTGCGACTGAAAAACTATTTTCGCAACAGCCCCACAGAAAAAATAAATCGACCAGCATAAAAAATTATAGAAACAACTATTTGAAAAACATTTTAGAATGAAACTACAAGAATCTCACAATAAATTTGTCTGTTTTTGCAGGCCAAGTTAACATAATAAAAAGGCGGGAAA